ATTTAGCTCAGTCAAAGTGTGAACTGCCGGTTCTCCACCTGATGCAGATGAGTTTGTAAATGTCTTTCAGCAACACTGGCAGACAAGCTTTCAAGAAACGTTTCATATTTTCGGCAGCTAACACTGACTAAGTGCACTGCAATCGACAAAGTATGCAACGAAATTTATGTGGCTTGTAGTCAGTAATTCATGGCTGAGTGAAAAAGTGACGACCAATTGGTGAAGGAAGTGGTTTGGCCTTGAACAAACCGTCTGAAAGATGTAGAAGCTTATCTCCAGGTCTTCCTGATGGGCCACGTTTTGCATATCGTAAAAGTGATCAGGTGATTTTCACGTCTTGCTTGATCTAGATGAAACTAGCTGTTTATCATTTGCTTCTGATTTCTACTTCATGAAACAAGGGGCAATCAACAAGGAAGGACGTCCGTCATACTCTGAGTGGAAGGCCACGTGAACCGATGCATCCTTGGATGATGGAGATGTGTCCTTGATAGAACAGGCCAGGTGGAAGCAGAACCAACGTTTTCGACACAACCCGGGAGTTAAATTGAGAACCAAACCTCAGCTTCTGTTTATGGTTGGGTAACCCGGATCTACCTCATTCCTAACACTTCCTTCGAATGGCATGACAGCTTAGCACCTAAATGGGGTGTTACATCTTAAAGACCACTGCTATCAGGTCGTTTCTTAGATAAAACTTCGCTTTTCCGGCAGTAACAAACATTGGAATATCATCGTTTGATTGTTTAAATTTCGCAGCTAATCGTAGATGTCTATTGACCTGAGGTAGTCGATATGCCAGTTTTCTGGTGAAAGGGAGAAGGTCTTGGCTGCGGAGTTGTGTATTAGAAAATGCCAACTGAACAGTTAAGACTATTGGACAGGAAAGCAAAACTCTCATTTGCATCTTGTTCATAAAACTGAGTATCCACCTCCTTGAAGGCGTCTTTTCGAACTTCCCTTGATATTAATTGACTGTTATTCTATTGCAAGCAGATGCTACAGAGCGGATCCACAATTTCCGTAAGAGATCTGACTTTTCCACAGACGCAAAGTGAATTTACGAGAGAACATACTACTCGCATGCCCCTCCATTAGTAGTATCACCGTTACGCTGGTATCAACTTTGCAGGATTATGATAATTCTATAATAAATATGGATTACGTTACACATGTGATGAATTGGAGGTCAGATGAACTCGGATCAATCGTTTTTCCTTTTTTCTCAGAATGATGATACATTTCGCTGTTTGTTTGTTCGCAACACACTTTCTTACCAACCCAGCTTTTTGTTTCCTTTATTCGGTCCACGTTAGATTTCCTTTGATCATATATCATTCCGAGCTTATCGACCTGGAAATATTTTCCCGTTTGCAATATAGGACACAAGCGAAAATGTACGGTTTGTGGCAGCCCGTATCCTCTTTCTAAATTTCTCCTAATGACTAGAAAACACGCACATGACCGGGATAAACAATGAGATTGCTGTGGAACTGAAGTAATTCGAATTGAGGCAGCAGTCGATTACTAAGGGTTCTTATCAATAAACCACATTCAAACACAGAAAATGACTGGGGGAGTAAACAACTAGATCTGTTGTAGAAGCATATAGGAATGTGTAATATGCGGATACATTGAGAGCTCAGGTGGGTAACTGTTGGCTCGCTGAGCTTGTCAACTATCTCGCTTGGTGAGAAAACCAACCATCATTGCTAGAAAAGTTACTGAGTTGAGAAAGTCCGAAAACAAGTTTAGCGACATGAGAATACGAGGCTCGGTAACATCAGACACATGGTAGGATGGTACTGTTTACAAACGCTCTCTATACTTACGTGGTGAGTCACCAACTACAAGACTGATTGGACACGTCACGTTTCGGACCAGAAGGGCAATTTTTCAGTGGAGAATTTAAGCAACCGTAGCTTTATCTTGGTCAGATCATGGTTGTTGCTAGTGAACTCCAACTACGCAAGCACACAATGAAGACGAGTAGATGGTGATGTGTTTGCTGAAAGGGTCACTACATTTTCATAAAGAAGACTACTCACGAGGTTGCTGAAAACTCTTCGACAACCCACTTGTGAGTAGTTTCCTTTGTGAAACTATACTGCGATATCTCGAGCATCGTGCAAACTGAATTAGGAGACGGCCTGTGTGTAGCACATTCAGTTGTAGGATATCATAAACGAGAGATTCAGTTGAATCTCTCGCGAAAACCAAATTGATTTGCAAATGAGTGTATTTCTCGAAGTCACTATATTGTTTAGAATAGTCATTAGCGGAAACTGCAGTTTTTTTACCATTTTTGGAAAGGCTTTTCCATACAAGTTGGCACGTTTTATCTGATGTTATCATTTACTTTGTGGAGTAACGTGCAGCATTCAAACTAGAGAAATCTGGACGTCATTTACACATCACTGCTTGTGTGTGCTGATTAGGCATCTGGTCGATCAATATTCTAGGCTACATAAAAATCAGCCAAGCTCACGTGACTGTGTTGCCCATATGATAGCGTCCAGTAGCATCATAACACAGTCAAAACAGAAAAATTCCAAGGAAAAAGCGTCTGCACGTCTGCCTGAGGCCTATTCACTTCCATCAAGTGAGAGAGAGAGTCCTTTTCTATCAACCGTCTTGCAATAGATATTCCCCTCAACATAGACGGTTATTGATCGTTCAGTTGCTTCAGTTCAGCTCTGAATGCGATTCAGGCAGATCGAAAATATGGAAGCCAATGAACAGATGCGCATACATAACACGTCCCAAGGAAACGATTATCCAATAAATGTTTGTCATGGGATTGGTGAAACTAAGATGCAACCCGACCTACACAGCAAAGCTAGAAGGGTGCCAGACAATCATACCTGGGAATAGGGTTGAGAAACTGTAATACAGTGATTTCTGACAAGTCATTTCAACCACTGAAGACAGAAGAACTCCGAAGCCAACAAGAAAGAAGACTCACGAGAAAAGCAAGAAGTCAACGGAAAGAAAGACAGAGAGAAATTCAGCTGGGTTAATTGAAGCCCATCAAAATGTACAGGATCGACAACAAGGGAAAATCACACACGACAGAAAAGCATTGAATGATACGGCTAGGCTTTACACACTCTGAATGCAATGCAGCACATAAGGAGGCTACTCAATCGACCAATCATACGACAGAAGACGAACCGAGGCAAGGGACACAAGAAGTTCAAACGGGACAGATGGGAAAAACATAGTTTACCGTCCTACTGAAAAGTTCTTTGGGGCATTGGAGTCTAAGATTTTTCGGCCGGCGAGAATCTCACTGTTAGTCCAAGAGACCGAATGGAATCAACTCATTCAAACGCCACAACGAACATGAAAAAAGGAGCAACAAGTTTGAAGCCCCAAAGTTTTGTGAACACAAGACGATCCACAGAAATGGTAGACTATGCACCAAAAATGGAGTTTTTCTATTCCACATACGAAGTTGAGAACTACGGGCATGTCATCACGACGCCATTATTCCAAAGGATAAAGAAAGACAGTTATCGTGAAATCAGTTTAATTCGTAGTGCTGAAAAAGTCCTGTCTCGCATGGACATTCTGGGTGTGGTTTATTCAGGAAAAGTTTATCTATTCAGGAGGATGGGGAGCATTACTGATTTACTCCTCAATCTAGTGAACACAATAGAAATGCTAACAAAGCAACCTGTGCTCCGTTTGTCCTTGGGTTTAGAGAACAGAGAAGCATTATGGATCGCTCTCCGGTGAGAGGATATTGTGGGTTGTCTGAGAGGGACAAATGTGCACCTTAAAGTGCGTGCTGCGCCATATACAACACATGTATGCTTTACAATCCAGAAATTTGACTCTGTTTCATGGAGTGAAGAGAAGTTCGGCTCATGCAAAAACGCATACAGACGCCAGCTTGGCATCAACAAAGAAAATTCAGGGAAAAAACCGTTTCACCAAAGTGACAAAGTGTCCGTTCGGGATGGCCTGCACCCGGCACTCTTAAAAGATGACGAAGTCTTGGTGGACAGTCTGACGATCCTGCTGGGAAAGAGTTGGGGCGGAAATAAGAGGCCACTGGAATNAAAAAAAAATCAAGGAAAAAACCCGTTTCACCAAAGTGACAAAGTGTCCGTTCGGGATGGTCTTGGTGGACAGTCAGACGATCCTGCTCGGAAAGAGTTGGGGCGGAAATAAGAGGCCACTGGAATGGCCGGCGTCGAATATGATTTTGGCCTTCAAAAAACGGCACCAGGATGTAATACAGAAACCATCATGGCACTAGCCTGATAGTTTGCGCATCTGGGGTGCTCTATATCACTACTTTGCGCAGATTGATCGATTATCCGGAGAGACAAACTCGTAATAATCACGCTTGGCCAAGGAAGTTCGGCTATTTCTTTACACTGAGCAGTGCCACTCGTTCAGACGTCCCAAATTGGTCATTTTTCTTGATCGTCAAAAACCTTTGCAATATCTGGCGATCAAGTTTACATGCACTATGATGGAACTGTATGCAAAGTCCTGTGAGCACATACAAGCGTACAGCAAGTTCTCATCTGAGTTCACCACATCCACCGTTGTAAGACAAGCCTGCTGTCTCTCTCACCCTTCGTCTTCAACCTTGAAGTGCGCCTTGAAATTTCTTTGCCTTCCTTTGAAATCTCGAGGGTCGAAGTGATCCCGGGACTTTTGCTCACAGGCAGTGAGTGTGCGGGCAGTATTTATCTCCTTCAAACACAGATGCAAACAATCTGAAATAATTCTACCTCCCGGCCACAAGACTGGGTGGGAACAAAGCCACACCTCATGCGTGGTAGATAAAATTATTTTCCCAGGCAGTTGTATAAGTTCCGGGGGTGAGTGGAGATGCAATTAACCTTTGAATTGAGAAGGCCAGGGTAGCTTACGCCAACCACCGTCAACCAGGCTAGTGTCAATAGAATCGATTACATTGAAAGGTCAGATAAGTCACACTTTGCTCACATTCTGAATTACCTACTTTCATGTCCTCACAGGGGAATCGATTTCAAGGCATTCCTTGTGTTTGTTGAAGAATATCTTGGTCCAGTCTATGGAAGAATGAACGGGATGGAGAAGGAGGACGCGATAGCGGAAGTAAAACAGAAGTTGTCCTGCATCTCGCCACAACTACGAAATGCCACAGTGAGCGCGTTTTTTTAAATGTCATGTTGCGCACTCAATGGTTTTGCTGAAGTATAATCTTCCACTGAGCTACTTATAGATTTAAGTTTTTTGTGGAGATTTCATCCTGTGAGGGAAGCAAATCTATGCTGAAAAGCCGAGAAGCATTGTGCAGCTGTTTCATCCTTATTGGGAATCATCAGCGGTGCGCATCTCACGAAACTCCGGAGAGTCTCGAACCCGCGACCTCCCGGCTAGTAGTTTGAACACTTAACCGTTCGGCCACGGGCGGCTGATCAGCAGTGTGAATAACTCGCACTTAGAAAAGGCACAGCCTTTCTCACAGGATCCACATCATGCAGTCACACGTGTTGACTGCCCCCCGAGCAACGACGTCTCAGCTGGGAGTTTCACATATCGGGTGAAGTTAATTCTTCCTCTGACCTACTTATGGATTAGTAGTGGTGTCAGGAGATTTGGGATGTGTCAGTTGTCCTGTTTGTGAAGTCAATCTACTCTGGAAAGCTAAGGAGCACTGTGCCGTAGATTCATGCTTATTCCGACTCACCACCAGTGCGCATCTCACGAAACCCCAGGGAGACTCGAGCCTGTGATTTCCCTTCCAGTAGTGTGGCTAAGCAGAAAAGATAGAGCGCCACTCGACCTTAAGTCATGGAATCCACATCACATGGTCACCTGTTGACTGAACCCTCAAGTAACGAGTTCTCAGAGGAAGTTTCACTCGTGTTGTGAAAATATTCTTCCTTTGAGCTACTTATTGATTGATGGTAGTATGAGGAGATTTGGTGATTTTCAATTTCGGTGTGGCCTTCAAACTGATGCCTATCTATGCTTGAAAGCCAACTTTCCTGCACTTTTCCAGCTTCTGCTAGAAACCCATTCAGAATCTCAAGTTTAAGCTCGGAGGATTCCTATCATTATCATTTATTTTTGAAGAGCATGGTCTCAAACATAATAAGTAAATGCAAGCGACGAATGCGAAAGGGTAACAGGAGAATATGAGATAGGGGAGAGAAACAGTTCAGTCGAAGTCGTCATCAACAGTTCTAGTCAGATGAGATGAAACCCAACGTATATGAAAATTTGCTATGAAAACGCGAGTGTAAAGACCAACAACCGAAGAAAGGACAAAAGGACGAGGCGCGATAAGCGCTAGCACAGTCAAGACTCGAACATCAGGCACAAAGTATCCGTCATACTAGGTCTGGTGTAAGATTAAATGGCAAAAATGTACACTCAGTACCATGTGCCACGCATGAAAGTGCCATAAGTACGCAGAGAGCCCACAATTTTAAGTCACTGACTGTGACCTTAGGAAGTCCCAGTCCAATAACAGACTAAGCGGATTGAGGAAAGCAGATCCCTCGATGAGGGATGATCCTCGGTTGGTGGACCAAAAAGTTGACATCACGAGTGAATTTCATACGTTCATGGTGCCATGTATATTGTGCAACAGGTCAGTTTTCTGTACCATCTTCAAGACTGTAACAGTGATGTCGTATTTCAAGCATTCGGGATTCATCCGCTGGACAGAAGCCTAATGCTGATTTAGTTACCGGGGGCTGACTAATCTTACACAACAAAATCGGCCTGAATGTTAAGCCCATCGGTCGGCAATTAACCGTCTATCGGTGGTGATCAATGCCCAGCTGGGTACAAAAATTTTTATCAGCATTTTATCAGTGGGCGACTAAAACAAACTGGGCCTTGTGCCTCATTCTTTTTTTGAGGCAGGTTTGCTTGTTTCATAGAGTTTTGCGCACGTTTCCTAAGTATATTAAACTGTTCAGTGCGTGCAGGGGTTTGTTATCAACTGCCGGGCAAAATATTGCTTTTGTGATATCGACACGAAGAGACTGCACCTTACCGTGGTGTGACGGTTTGCGTACCTCGGCGATCTATTGAGCTATACTGGGGAGTGTCCCCGTGACACTCACAGAGTCTCTCATACCAGGTTGGTCAAATGTTAGAGGTCTGACAAACACAGTCTTCTGGCCCTCCAGGTTGGAGGTTGGAACATGTAGCGACTAGTTTCGTAGAAATGGTAATGTATTTGCATTTCCAACCAAACACCGCTGCCTTGCGGTTTGGCTTTAGAGCCAAAATCTTTGGTTGAGGACCCTAATCGTCCTCTTGTCTAGGTTTGGCGCCCTGACAGTTACCCAGCTCACGTACAACCGTAAGGCAGTGAAGCATTGGTGTTGAACACTGATACCATGCTGTCGGTGACTATGATGATGATGATGATGATGATGATGATGATGATGATGATGATGATGATGATGATGATGATGATGATGATGATGATGATGATGATGATGATGATGATGATGATGAAAATAATGGTTCCTGCGCATACGAGCATCTGACAGCAGACTAGCTAGGACGGTGATTGGATTCCGTCATTAACTGTCTGTCTTTTACACCAAAGTGATTTTACCTGGCAACTAGGCCGGTTTTGCCAGGCTATTAGCCAACCGTTCGAACCCTTTTTTATTCGTTGAGATGAATGCGGATTTTGCACACTCGTGGCCGACCGCTTTGTCAGAAGGAATCCATGCACCTAAACCGACCAGTGCTGCATCATCACCAGTGACGGCAAAATACCAATAAAAAAACATTGGTGCTGAACTGTCACACAACCACGAGGAGAGGGGGAGTTTTAGTAAAAAGTGGAATGAAACAGGAGGAAAGGTTTGAGAAAGGGTAGGGACTTGATTACAAGAAGCCGTTTTCGTATCAAGAATAAGATGCCTACATGTTTAGACAGCACTGAATAAAACACGTCCGAGCGTCACCTCAAAGTGGTTTGTTCTCTTCGGTATTGACCCCGTATCCTTAGCCAACCTCACCCGACATAAGCTCAGTGAACAACAGTAGTGGAAACTCTTCGACAGCCCACGACCCGTTTCACCCTTCTTGGGGCTCATCAGGTAGGCGCAGTCCCCGAGTTTCCGTCAACTTTATGTTCTACTTGAACCTTGTGAATAGTTTCCTTCATGAAAATATACTGCGATATCTCGAATATCGTGTCAACTGAATCGTGAGGTGGCCTGTGTGCTGCACATTCAGGTGTAGAATATCATAAACGCGAGAGATTCAGTTGAGTCTCTCGTGAAAACCAAATTGATTTGCTAGTGAGTGTATTTCTCGAAAACAGTGGTGGAACCTTAGCTAGATGTTGAGACCAGGAAATGATAGTCTTTGCAATACTGGGGTCGGTATTAAGTTCAATATTTGAAGATAAGATCAGGCTATCCGACTGTCTAACGGTATTGAGCAGCCTTGCTCCAAGTATTCCCGGCGAAATCACTTCCACACACAAAGTAGAGTTCGTCATAATCCAAGAGCTGATTGTTGCCGGTATATTTGGTCTACTCACGGACGTTACGTCTTAGGAAGCTTGTACTTTTACAAAGGTGCCCCAAACTATGATCAGATCTAGTGTGTTTTTGAGAAAGCACTGCGATTCACGTGCGCATTTTATGAACTAACCGAATCGAACATGTCTCTTTCTCATGCGACTTTGAGATTCCTTTCCAGTGATCAGTCTTTTCACGTAACTTCTTTGACTCTCAAGTACAGTTCCACCGAATAAACACAACGATGTGGTACTTCAGAAAGGAGAATAAGTCACGCGATGAGTGAACCCTTCATATGTGAAGTATTCCGTTGAACAACCAGTCGACACGTAATCTCGTCATGTGAATTCCCCAATTGAACGAAACGTTGCGTTAATATCCTGTCTAGGTTCTAGCTCATTTTAATTCTGGTCAGCCATTGGTGACCGAAGCGGTGACAGTAACGAGTTCTAATCAGCCTGGAGATTCGCAAAATGCACGCCGCTTTTCGATTCCAAGCAAGGTTGGAACATAAGTACAGTGCTCTTGGCTTGTCTACAAAGAGTGCGTACACTTACTGGGTGAAATCTGAATTGAACCAAGTAATGCCAACTGAAATCTTACCCCCAATCATGTATTCTTGGGAATTTCGCTATCTGCATGCGTATTCGGGAGGTCCTAATATCTGCCGATTCCCATTTCCGAAACCTGTGAAATGTCCGTTTAGAGAAACTGATATATCTGGCAACGAATATCATAACGCCTCCCTCATTCCTGTCCTTCTGTTGTAGAAACCGTCCAATGATGCTGTTGTTCAACGATTAACAGACCCGAATGCCTTTCCACAGGCACACAAGTCGCAACCCAGCGCGAAACCGCGACAGTATAATCCAGCCCCAGGACGTCAGTTATCCAAAAAGTGAATGGATGCACAAAACATATGAAAGAACGTTTTTTTCCCACCCATGAGATAAATATCCAGGTTAGGTTCTCAAGCACATGCTCCACTGCAAACCGCAGAACTTACCGGCACTCACTGCTTATCGATTTTGAGGTTTTTGTCTTGTTATCCAAAAATGGATGCACAAAACATATGAAAGAACGTTTTTTTCCCACCCATGAGATAAATATCCAGGTTAGGTTCTCAAGCACATGACATGCTGCAAACCGCAGAACTTACCGGCACTCACTGCTTATCGATTTTGAGGTTTTTGTCTTGTTCCAACATTGTCTGTACACTAGGAATCAAAGTAAATCTAATGTTGTTTCTTAGTGAACACAGTTCCGAATAAACAAACCTCAGAGCTTCCCATGTTTTTTTTTCACTTCAGACTGGCGCTGTTGAACAAATTGCAGGAGTAGGAACTCCAGATTTAAACTTTCAAAAGTCAGTGTTCAACTATCGGGACTGTAAACTCTTGGTGTCGGTTATTCAACCGTATGACTTTG